TCTGGATAATTTTTCAATAAACGAAATTCAGGTAGTTTTGATTGTAATATAAAAAAGTTATGAAATATGCCTTAATTGTTTTACACATTATTTTCAAACCTTTTAAGTAACCATTACGCTATAAACATTACTTACTTGATATTTCTCCTGTAGCTCTTAAATCCAAATTACTTTAAAAATGCAGCAGTCCAACATACGCATTTAAAGCAAATAAAATTGACTATACTCCAAATAAAAATGTCTAATTCTGTCGGGAGCTACTAACGCAGGCAGATTCATCTTTGTTTTGAATTAAAAAAAAATTACGACACATGATAAAACCACATTAATTAAACTAACAAGCCCTGAGTCGAGGGATAACGAAGGTTAATTAATTAATCACATCTCTAGAGTGTTAATAGAGGACAAGTTGAGCCAAATGTTGATGAAATGGTTATAAAAGTACAAGATTAGTCCGTCCCTATCTTAATATTAAAGTTGTACAGCGTCATGGAGATCCTAGAATTTTTTCGTTTTCTTTTTTATAACAAAAGGTAGCAAACGAGCAAGCGGCCACCTGAATCCGCCAAAATGGCGAAGCGACCGCTGTCCATAGACATCCGCAATTGTAGATGCGTTGCCTACCCTTATACGACGGAGGAGGAGACGCACATAAAGAGGATACTTCCCCTTCAGATGCATCTCCTCCACCGTTATCCACATCCTCTTTCATCCTCTCCTAATAAGAAAAGGGTAGTAAAGAGAAAGGTACTCAAATAAGGCCTCCAGCACAAAACTCATCAGACGAAATACGGAATTGTTTCCATTTCACGCCTGTCTTTTGTGTGGTCATAGTACACCGGGCGTGCCGGCCCTGCAGTGCTAAGATATTAAAGCGGGCACTACCACTGTTGAATGCGTTGTAAGCGCCTGAGAAATGATATTATTTTTATATAACTTTTTCATTATAAAGTAGAATAAACGGAAGCAATGGTAGGTCTTCCTTTTAATAGACAATTAAAATAAACTCAGGTCTGGACCTAATTGAAACTATCTGTTTTCTATTAACTTACTTTCAACACTTTCAGGTAAATTAAATAAATAACTTGGAAAAGCTAAACAAGTAATTTATTCTGTTTGTCGAACGACAGAAGTCAGTTTGCAATTAGTTAAATTGAGAAAGTTTGGAGGCGAGCTCTGACAACTGTCTATTTTTAGTCAATATTAAAACCAATACAGTTAATGGATGTTTTCTTTAATTTACTGATAATCACAGATAGCTATTGACAGAGGGGTACCAAAAAACAGTTCATCACTTTAACACACGTTACAATTCTACTTAATCGCGATTTTTTCAAATTTATAAGATGTTGGGGGAAAAAAATGGAAAACATCTTGCGTCGGTGTACTACGTCAATTTAGTTGGTAGAATTTTCTACATTTCTGTCAGCTGTTTGGATTTGAGATAAAAGCAATTTCGTAAATAAAAAACAGTTACAGCAAAGATAAATGTTTATAGGGGTTTCTTATGAGTTTTTTTTATATGACATTCGTGTTTATCGTTGCCAATAAAGGGTAAGACCTCCGTTTATATGAGGCGGGAAATAAAAATAACAAACACGCATTGAAAAAAAAATTAGCGTATTTGAACTTCACGGTCCTTCAAAACGGTGACAAAAACTTACTTAACTAAGTAATTAAACTGTTTATTTGTAAAAGTACAGATGTATTAAAGTAACATAGTAATTTACTAATCTATGTAAATATAATAGAAGACAATTTGTTTAATTTAACCACCACAATGTTTTACGAATACAAATAAAACATAATTACAAAAGCCCACAATAAAACCACAATAGGCACCATTTTATTTACATTAATTATAGTATTGGTTAACTTTAATAATAAAGTGCTGGCCGCTAATTAGAGAACGCTAGAAAAATTAAAACATCATTTACAACTCTGTTATCATACAGTATATAACATGCTAGAGCCTCCCTTAATCATACTTCACACTAATATTATAAATGCGAAAGCTTAGATGGATGGATGTTTGTTAGAGTTTGTAGCCTAAACGGTTAAACCGATTTCAATAAAATTTGGTATGGATGGTTGAGGATAGTCTGGAAGAACCCATAGGCTACTTCCTTTTGTATTTAAGCCAACTAAATTGGACCAGGGTAGGTTGGTTGACTTCACAAATAACTTAATATTTCTTCAAACACAGACCTTTCATTACGATGTTCTCTTTCATGGTAACATTTTCGGATGTTGTACATATGAAATTCTAAAATCGAAACAAGCAATGTCAACCTAACCCTGGAACTGCAGACGCTCGTAAGTCTACTCAACTTTTAGATATCATCTGATAATTTACACCGTACCGTTAGCAAATAAATACATTATCATTTCTCACATTTAGTAGTTTTCGATGATTTAATTACCGATTTGACATGAAAGTGTAATTTATTTGTTGTTCATAAATAAACATGCGACAATGACGTATCGCTACTTTGTTGTCGTTCATATGATTTATTGACAAAATTTACATCCTGTTAATTGAATTATAGACTGTGTGAAGTTTATAAAGTGAAAAATAATCAAAGGGAAATGTTTCCTTTCGAATTTAAATACATTTTCTTTATCATTATCATAAAATTTAAGAACGTATGATTATGCATTCCATCTCTTTACTGGTAACTAATCTATTTGACCAGAATTTATAATTTAGTCTCTTAAATTAAATTAAATTATATTAGTTGTTAGGTTTTCTAGCTTATTGCTACATAGAACTTCCTTCTAAATCCGCTTACTGCTCTGCATTTTCTACCATAAAAGCTATTTAAAAATCTATCCACTCTAGCGATTTTGCAATCTGTTTAAAAATCTTGAAAAGATAAGTCCTAAGCTTACTCCAGGGCATCCAAGCTTAAGTTTTGCGACTTCATTGTTTTAGAAATCCTTAACAAGTAACATGATAAATTATACTATCATACTAATATTATAAATGCGAAAGTTTAGTTAAATGGATATATGTTTTTTAGAGTTTGTAGCCTAAACGGATGAACGGATTTCAATGAAATGTTTACTTTTCAGATAAGTACCTATCATTTTGCGGGATTGAGTTTTAGTATTTAAATTACATATATTTTCATTATTACATTTATTTCTGAATTATTACATACCATAATCTTCTTGATTTTTACTAAAAATTAATCATTAATAATTTGACAATTGCCAACAGAATTGAAACGAGAATAAAGCGAGGTAATTAGTTAATACCATAACATACAAAATAATATCAATATAAAGTATTGCCATTATTAAATCATATTTGATGGTCTACTATTATTTTTGACTAGCTTTCGCCCGCTATTCCGTCCGCGTGGAATTAAAAAAAAAAACAAAAGTTAGTAGTGACTTCCTGACTACCACCTATATACATCTATGCCGAATTTCATCGAGATACGTTCACCCGTGTAGATTACAAACTCTAATAAACATCCATCTAAACTTTCGCATTTATAATATTAGTGAGATTCAAAAAAGTACAAGTAAACCCTATTGATCTTCTGAAGTTTAGTCCGCAGTGCATATTAATAGGTTATTCATATAGCAAATTGCTGCCATAAAACCTAAAAATGGTGTCGAATTCTCGTGACGTTAGCATACCACTTGATTTATTGCTTTTGGAAATTTGATAGATATTGGCTCTGCGTTTTATATTAAGGTAAATTTTTAGACACGCTGCAAAGCGTACTAAAAATGTACACATTTTTTTACTAATTGTGATTACTGCGTACCAGTGCATACAATAAATTAAATTAAACCGAAATTTTAGGTTAACAACCAATTTTCCAAAGGAGCCATTTAGTTACATTGAAATTGCAAATAATTGAATGGAAAATGTCTTTATTAACCTAAAAGCAACGAGCATAGTAGCAATCGTCTTATTAGCAAAAATGCCAGATGGCGGCTGATATATAAAATTTATTGGTCTTAATTTTTAATTTCAAATCCCCTTTGTCTTGAACATGATCGAAAATTAACCTAATTTTTTCTCACCGTTGTTACGGAAACCTTTTCGAAATTCGTATACCTCACAACTTGGCAGAGTTAGAGCTTAGAGTATATGCTCTTTTACCGCGAGAGCTACGAAGGCCCAAAAACTTTATGATAAGAGTTATGTCATATTACAATAAACTGTATTTACAGAATGCTTTTTCTCATTGATTAAATGTTTTATTCCGAAGAAAAAACATTAAACATACAACAGGTAAATAAATTTGTGACAACATCCAACTCCGACGTCCGAAGTATAAGTAATTAGTTCTTCCACCTTGTTATTGACTTGAACTTATTTATTATTACATCTTATTTATTATTATTTCTTATTTAAATATTGGCTCCGAAAAATTGCTCATACAACGAAGATGTTTAAGTATATTGGCGTATTTTATGTCTTTACAGCTGAATTTATGACGTCCTTAGATGCGGGTTCCTAGAGAGAATTACGTCATGGCGAGGTCCACTTCAGTTGCGATTCTTGAAATCTGTGTAGTCTAGTGTAATTCCTAAATAGTGTAACGTTATGCTCGTTTTACTTTCATTCTACCGTACCGTAATAACTATTTTCTTTCAAGAATCTTTTACCATCGACGATACATTTACATACACAGTTGCAACGATCAGCCATAGATTGTATTGAATCAGTGGGGCCAGCGTTGACACTGTTCCAGTTCATTGACAATCCACTTATTGAGCGCTACTGACCACGTGGACTGGCCAAGTGTGAACAGAACTTAGAGGTGCATATGAAATCCGAATTTAATAACTTTTATTTTATGTCAGTCTTGGCTTACCCCACAACACGCAGCATGGCCATGGAGGTAAGGTATAAGACAAACTAAATTATCACATGTTTTCTTCTTGTTTTATTTAATTTTTACCCAGATAGCAATAGCAACACTCATAATCGCAACTGACGTTGTCAAAATTAAGTTTTGACAACTTCAAAAAGTTATTGTCAACTTTTACAAGCAAAAGTAAAGTTTTTAGTTAAACCAAAACTTAATATATTTTGGAGGTTTTTAAACTCACATACCCAAAATGAAATTAAAGCCTAAAACCATTTAATAATGTTCAGCTATAACGTTAAGTTTATAACTAGTGAAGAAACACTGTTTCTGAAAAGCGGTGACTTTAAAAGTTTTAAGTAGGTTTGATTGTTTTAAATACCGCTTTCTAATGTGCGCAACTATTAATTAAAATGTCTATTTAAGGTATGAAACAAGGAAACGCTTAGATGAAAATATATACGATGCTGGAAAAAGGAGCTATTGCGAACGCCGCGGTGGTTATTGGCGAATACCTAAATCTAGTCAACTGCGGCAATTAGAATCAACTCTAAAAGACCGCAATATAGTAGAATGTATATGGGTGAATGACTTACTGGCTACATTGGTATTTTCTTCGGGTGCTATAGCTTACATTTCTATCAATCCAGAAACATTAGATGTCACACAAATACTTTTTGATAGGTACTGTGTTGGCAAACTTTCAGGACAAACTGTAACAGGAGGTAAGATTTTAAATAAATCAAAATATACATTTATCCTAGATATCTTAACCATCACTTACCATCTTACCATCACAAGCCATCATAAGCAAATTGTTATGGTGACCTATTCAAATATTTATGACAAGGAAAAGATGGAAGTTCTTTTACTACTGATAAACTGACAGTGCTCTGAGGATCGATGTTTCGAAAATAAATTTAAATATCCATTGCTTAGAAGATAGATCAAGTTGTAATTAATTCATTGAAATTTTTTTATGTAAACATTATTGTAGCTCGGTGTATTTTTACAGTTGCTTTCAGCAAGACCCATCTACTGTTCACCCACGCTGAGAGAACTGCAACCCTTTTAACATTTGGAAAGAGCATTGAAGATAGCAGTCATCCTTGTCGGTTGTCAGATAGAGATCCACACATTCAGGTATATGATATATAAGCATAGAAAAGTTATGTTATAGTGATATTTTAACACTGGGGTCCAGGAATATGGTGTTTATTAATAGTTTAACATTAGTAATAATAATGTATAGCCTACTCACATATAAATTACCTTTCTAATGGTGAAAGAATTTTTTAAAACAGACCAGTAGTTTTTGCATGAATCAAATACATACAAAAAATACAAGTCTTTCCTCTTTATAATATAAGTATAGATGTATGCGTAGGCCATTATCTACATGAAATAAAAAAAAAACGAAGGTTTAATTCATGGCTATGGTATTAGTGTACAAATAATGAAATTAAAAAGGCCCATGGAAGACTTTTCCAGACAAATGTAGCTTATGCTAATTAATCAAATAGTGCTACCATTTTCAATGACTTAACTGTGTTATGTTATATCTTTTATTGAAACATGATTGCAGGTGCTAGAGTTAGGTGGTGCTAGGGGCGCTGAGAGAAGAGTATCTTGGTGCTGTGATGGCAGTGGGATGAAAGTGCTGTTATGGAGTGCGGCCAGTGCTGAGCCAGCTCCGTGGAGCCCTGTGCTGGAAGATCTAGCTAATCTACACTTGTACTATATAAATGGGTAATTTTATAATAAAAAAACTTTATTTCTTTTAATGTTATAGAATTTATGAAGTTTAGGGGAAAAACTGGTTGTTGTATCTCTGTCCTTGCGGGGATTTAAAAAAAATAGCAGACCATCTGTGTCTATGCCAAATTCCATCTAGATCTATTGAGTCATTCTGGATTCTGGAGATACCTAGTAACAAATATTCATTCATTTAATTTTTTACATTTGTAATACTAGTAAGAATAAGTATAGATTGTTTTATGTGAAAGTATTGCCATTTTGAAATGGAAAGAATACATTTAAGGTATCATTTTATCTTTGTTAAATATAATACCACATCTTCATTTCAGGCAGCAAGTTAGTTTGATTGCATTCCATCAACTAGAAAATGAAGTATTATGTGCGGAGTTATCACAAAAGAATGACAATGTTGTACACATTGTTGAACAAACTGCTTGTAACAAGGTAAATATTTTACATGATTTAGAAAAGAAAATTGTTTGCAAATATTTTTTTCTTAAATCAGATGCATGATTTGTATTCTACAGGTCCTGGGTTTGAATCCCACCATGTATCAAAGTGATTTTCGATTTTCTAAATTCATATGTATCTGAATGTATGTATGTATTTAGATTGCAGCGAAATTTATTTTATAATTTTATTTTATAAATTTCCCGCTGAGAATATGGTGAAGGAAAACATCGTTATGAAACCTTCACATATTGGTGAAGAAATTCAAATGTATGTGAAATCATTAAACATGAAGTAAAAGAGCAAGGTCGACCTAGTCACTCCTAAGCGAAGCTTCCGAGCTGCTCAGTGTGATAGTGAGCTGGTGATGATAATGTAA